TAAGAGACAGGTGCACAGCACAATGCTACGGGCAGTTTTCTCTATTGGACTGAGGCTGCAACCAGCTTGTAACTGTGAAATCAGTGTGATGTTTGGCGCCTTAGGCCCACCAGCAAGGTTAGCCGCTTTAGCAGCAGTTTGGGAAGGGAGGGAGCCTTTTGTGGTCCGTGTGGAGTGGAGGAGGTGGAGTGACACCCTGTGCTTCTCAGTTGACTTTGCTCTAACCTGGTTCTCCCCAGCACAAATTAGAGCTCTCGAAAGTTTGCAGTGATGGGTGCTGGCTGCAGGAGGCTCGGTCCAGCAGTGCTGGGGTGTGAGCTGGCTGCCTCTTACCGGCTGCAGAGGGGCCTCGGCCCTTTCCCCAGATGCTGGCTGTGGGGTAGGAGCCACTCAGCCCAGCAGCCTGGCTGGGGGACAGCAGCTGGGCTTCTGAGCCAACATCCTTTCTTAATTTCTTTTAAATAAGCAAACCCCCCAACAGTCTTAATTACACACTGTCTTTGCGTGACATTACCGATTCCAAAAGTGTCTGTGTAACACACCATCATGCTTGAAAGGCTATTAAAGTAAGTGTGAATAACTCCAGGACCAATTGTTTTATCATAAATTATTTTTTAGAATTCTTGTGATACACTGGAATATTAGTGATTGTGTACATTTTTCAATGTCAGTCCGTGTTAATGATTTACCCTTTTCAGTTAGCAAGAGTCAAAAATTACATTGCCTTTCCCTGAAGTTCCCTGTGCTGATAAATTATAACTAAGACTTAACACAGGTTTATGTTCAGTAATGTATTAACTGTTTTCCCAGAGGACAATTGGGTAACTCAACTTTTTAGCAAAATCTGTTTGTAAATGTAGTATTATTTAAGGAAATGTTTTACATGAATTGATATCTCAGCGAAACTAAAATCTTGGCACATTTCCAAGGCCTGGAAAACATATTTTTATTGAATTAATATATTCAGAACTGTCATAGTTTGTGGTACATGGCTTTACAGCATAAATTTTTTTGTGTGTGTGTTAATTTACTCTAGCAAAAGATAAATAAGATCCAAAATGTCTGATACAGCAACTAATTGCAATATTATTTTCTTTTGACTTTAGAATTCACTTAAGAGTGTTCTAGGTAATAGAAAATGCTTTTCTGTTAATGACAAAATTAAACATAGAAACTCTCCCAAGTATAATAAATACCAGCTTTTAAAGAAACATCTTGAAAGTGTACGTATGAGAATATTTGTGTGTTTATAAAGTAGAAATTTTGTATTAACAAAAAATTAACCTTTAAAAGATACTGGCATATATTGCACATGTTTAATAATTCTTTACTGTTTCCTTTTTTTGGGGGTAAGTTTTCTATTTTACCCATGTTCAAGAAACATAGAGTTACCTAAGTATAGTTTATAATCACATTATATAAAACTGTAAGATCCAATATGATAGTTCAATTTGTTTTCATTTTAAATAGCTTTTGATACAGTATGATAGCTCTGTAGTAACAGATTAAGCAGCTAGGTAAAACGTTTTCAGTTGTGTTTCCTTCCATTCTGTAAAAATGCAGTATTTTCTCTTTTAGCCAAGAAAAGCACTTTAGATTCAGGAGTGATACATAATTGCTACCCCTTAGGAGGGAAAAATACAAGAAGATGGTGGGCTTCTCTGCAAAGCCAGCCTTCTCGTGTGGTTTAACACAGAACCTTACAAATGCCTTCATTTTGAAAGATGGGAACATGTTGCTGCTTAGGTATCTTCATTGCATGTCTCTGCAGCGTGAGTGGGTTTCATTATAGAGTCCAGTATGGGATTCATGATGAAAACTTGCAGATGCAGGGTGGTAGTTGGCCTCATTTTTATTCTCAACAGTTCCTGAGACACTACTTCTGTAACAATATTTTCTTCATTGTAAAGCAAGTTAGAGGGAGTTCAAGGTGGAACGTGAGGGAGATGAAGGTTTATAAAATGCTGGGTGCCACTGAAGCTGTGCACAGTGGCACCATGTGTTACTGGCCTCAGAGAATCCACATGCTTTACATACAACTTTCTAACTCCTTTTGGTCCCTGCACTTCCTTTTCCTGGTTTTCCTCTTAATGGTCCTCCATACTGGTCTCTCTCAGATGAGGCTTCTGCCACTCCTGAGACCTGCTCTGAGAAGGTCCTTCCCTCTCTGCTGTGCAGATCTCCCTTATGGCCCATCGTGCTTCTCAGCCTTTTGCCTTGGCTCAAGCTGCCCTGCTCCAGCATCCAGTACGAGACAGGGAACAGGGGGAGACACCCTGGAGAGTTTTATTTCTGCTGGAGAGCAAACACGAGACTCTCAGAGGAACTGTGCTACTCACCCCCCTCACCCTCTTCTGCCCAATTGTTGGGATTCTAGAGGGATTTCTGCGAGAGAATGGACATGTGAGCAATCCTGCCTGAGAACAAGACTGATAAGAGCCTCAGCCTGAGCAAGAATGCGATAAGGATGTGACCCTGAATGAGGGGGGAGAAACTCGAGGAGACAAACAACCCCCGGAAGGGGCTGGGATGGAAGAGGAAGTTCCATAAGGCAGGGAGCCTGGCAAGGCTGATGGGGCACTTTTTATCCAATCATACGGAGGTTTAAAGCGCGGGCTAAGTTAACTGTCCAATCTTGAGGACTTGTACTGCAATGTTACTCACGTGTGCAGGAGAACATTATAAAAGGGCTTTCTCAGTTATAATAAACAGGCATTGCTTGATCACATTGGTCGTGTGTGTGCTCAGCTCTCCCGCACCCAATGACTGTTAAAAGTGAGGCAATGACAAAGAGGAGGAGTGGCTTCACAATCTCCTGGTGAACTCTGTGTGCTCCCATCTCTAATATATGAATTTTGCTATTCCATATCAGAATGTGTGACTCAGATCTATGAAAATACATACTTCCAAGGAGGAGACCTTGCTACGGTTTTTACACCAAGTGCCAATTACTGCCAAGTAGTGTGTACTTACCATCCTACCTGTCTGCTCTTCACCTATTTGCCAGCTGCATGGACTGAAGATCCCACGAAAAGGTAAAATGTTCATACTTACTTGGCAGTTGCTGGTCTCCTGTGATAATTTTAGTAACTTGGTAAAATTCTGACAAAACACAGGCACACAAGGAAAGCTATGGGGTTGCCATGGAAAACAATGTCATATATCTTTAAAACTGGTGATCTAAAAGAGTATTTGCTTAAATTCAGAAGATTAAATTTGACAATTTCCAATCTTACACACTTGCATATCAACCCTTTCAAGAAAACAGAACTGACTGTGCACTCCCTCCTCTGTGCCACATTTTTATTGTTGAGGCACAGTGTGAGCAATTTCATATCTTTAGTGGTCCCCTCTTCTGTCCCCCACCCTCTCTCTTTAACACATTTTTCTCAAAATTAAGAACTTCAGTAGACTGAGAGGATGAGGTTGTCCTCTCTCTCTATGCGCAGTGCATTTCTGTCCTCCAAATCCTGGGCTCTGCTTCTCCCCTTAATGAGACCTTTGGAGCTCCCACATAGACTGAGAAGTTTTATTTGGTGCCAGTGCCAACAAAGCAGATGCAGCTCTATCCTATCATTCTCCAAATAGCACTTGTCTAAATTTTAATGTTGAGGGATATTGTATAGCCTGCATTTCACCTGAGAAACAATTATGAAAGTCTGCGTTGTACTGCAAAAGCTGTGAATTGCTGCATTTTAAAACACAGGTTTTCCTGCTACTTAAAAGACAGTGATACAGAAATGCTGCCAAAAGTGGACATGGAAGGAGCTATCTCTGGACATTCTTTAAAACAGTGTAACGTCCAAATTAGTGGTAAGATATGGTTATTTGCATATTTACATTTTATGCTCTGTATCATGTAGCAGATATTAGAAAATTAGCATTTCAAAACCAGGAATAGAATCAGGGAAGCACTGAAGCAGTGATTTGTATGTTCTTTGCCAGACCTCTCTCAAACAGAACTTACAAAATCTTCCACTGGTTTCACCCTTCAGCCACAACTATCTACTACTGCGGGTCCCCAGATGAGGTCATGGAGAAATCGTGTTCCTGCAGTCACTGTTTCTTTTGCTAGAGGCAGATGGAAGCACATGCTTTAACTGGGAGCTCCAGTTCTGAAGATTAATTTACTCCTACAATTCCACTCCAGCAAGCTGCTCATATGGTGTGTGTGACCCTGCTCTATTACTTTGTAGAACAGATGTCCAGCAAAGCGAAGTGCATAGTCACAAGTGATGTTGCTACCTTCATGACTCTGTGTAATAATTTACTAGCAGCTCCATCCTTTAGTGTATGCTGTGCACAGTCTTAATGTCAGCATGCCATAGCTGTGTGTTTTCAGCAGGCATATTTAAAGCCTATTAAAAGTGTTGGTTTAAATATGTTTTAAAATTGTACCATCATAATGATGTCATTAAGAGATCATCTTTAAGCATAGCAAGGTGCTGCAGGAAAACAGAATAAGCAAGAACACATTTATTTATTTATTTATATTTATTTTGAGGCCAAATAGTGTCTTACAGATATCAGGTTAATTCTTTAAGTTTTATTGGTATACCACGTCAACATGCCAGGGCTACATGAATCTTTATGCAAGTTCTCCATTGCAGCTATTGACAAATCAGTTGTGCTTGCTTTTGCTTGCCACATGCCTTTCAGAACAGTCGGGACTTTTAAAAGTGCTTTAGGTAAAACCTGGATTCTGCCTGTGGGAAAGTTATTTCAAACCTCACAGCCCCAATTCTCCCTCTGTGGAGTGTAAATTAATTCTTCTGACTCAAATGGAGATGTCTGTTTCTTATCAGGACAGAATTTGCCTTTTAAACTGCTCTATGAATTTGGAAATGGGAAAGTATGTTTTAGTATTAATCTTGAGTTCTTGCTTTGGTTAATGTCATCATCATCTCAGCCATAGTGGTTAGAGCTCCTCTCATGTGGGCAGAGGCATTTTCAAAATCTGCCATTTTTTCCACTTTTGATTTTGTTACTAGAAGTATATTTGATGTATGATGTAACTCAAGTGAGCATGGGATATAGAATCTGGATTATGAGGTCTCTGGCATATGATCTGCTATCTTTTGGGCAGTTTAGAGTGTGGGCCAGGGAAAAAATTGGAAGCATGTTTTCAGAACTTGTTCTCTCTTTTTTTGACAGCTTGCAGCCCACACGTCCACACAGGACTGGATATGGAAGGGAAAATTTATGATGTTGCTATGGCTGATAGCTATCAACAGTGTCAGAAAAGATGCACCAATGACAACCATTGTCATTTTTTTACATATGCCTCAGAAACATTTCACAATGCAAGCTTTCGGTAAATACAGGTTTGACCTCTTTCCTTGGACAGTGCTGTGCTTCAGTAGAATAAATCTCAGAGCAGTTTAAGGTGCAAGAATTTATTCAAGGAAATAATTTTTCCTTGACTTGTCATCCTTGCAATGTTTATTCAAATTTACAGATAGGAAAATTTCTGTAATAAACTAGCTTTCATTTGTCCATCAGTGAGAAAGACAAACTTGATTATCAGAGCACTGAAAAGGAATTGAAATTCTCTAGATATATTGAAATGCAAATTATATTGGTAGGTATGCAGCATTATTGCTTTGTTAAATCTTACTGTGCTTATTGCTCTGAAAATAGCATCATCAGAGATGATGCCTATTTTGGAGCTGGTAATCTGCTCCATTTTACAAGTTAAACATTGTTCAGCTAACTCTGTTCTTGATTTGGCAATTGTTCTGGAGATTGGAGATTGGTCTGGCCTGTGGCCGGAACATGCATCATGGTAGGAATTATGGGGCCAGAAGGATGGTGTAGACCAAAGAATATGGCCTGTTGTCTTACCACTTTCTTTATTCTTTGTCACTCAGTAAAAAGTGCTTCTTGAAACAAAGCAGTGTAGGAACTCCAACCAGCATAAAGGTGCTTGATGAGGTTGTGTCTGGATTCTCTTTAAAGCCATGCCAGCTTTCTGAAATAGGTAACTATTTAAAATCTCTGATTCAGTTTAGTTTTAAGGGTTATGGATGATGAGGTGCAGTCTATCTCTGACATGTATAAATGTTTAATTTTGTAAAATAATTCTAATATAAACTTATTCTTGAAAATATATTTAGTCTCAGGCACAAAGAAGGTTCAGGTATTTTTAAGTTTTCCTTTATCATTTCATCATTTTGTCATTTGTCTTACAAAAATAGTTGCCTGCTTTGAAGATCTAATTAAAAGATTAGCTTGATGAAATTGCATGTTATCTTTGTACAATGGATACAAAAATGAAAGATAAAATCTCATCAAAGTCAAAGATCAGGAGGAATATAAAGCTTTCTAAATTCTGTTTGTATACCATGTGTGCAGTTCAAAATTTTTGATGACCTGCAGCTTTCTAATACAACTGTCTAATATGAAGGGATGTATTCTGTGTTTTGTGGGTGATTTGTGATGAAGCAGTGTCAGTGCTTGTTCCTGCCATCATTACTCAGGCAAAACTCTCAAGAGTGCAAGATCAAATTGTGTATTATACCTTCTTATTCTCAATTGACACGTCTTTCACTTTTTTTCTTTTTTCTTTTTTTGAAATCTACCTCCACCATGTCCTATCTGTGCTATTTTCCCTTCTTAATGGTGATGTTCCTCTTCTTCCATATAACCTTATTTTAGATCACAGCTAATCTAGTTTTCCCATAGAAATCACATTTTATAGAGACTCTGCATCTTCTTTTTTTGATATAAATACACTTCTTTCAGACTCTGCTAGTCCTACTGTAGGAAAATTCTTTGGAAAATATTGAAAAAGTAGTTTTGTTCAGATCTTAATAATGAAGACATTTAAAAGAAAAATTAGGTGTGAAGAAGAATAAAAGGGAGAAAAGCTTTCTTGAACAGAAGAGAATAATTTAGCTATTCCCTCACTATGTGTATGACAGAGAATGGAGGAAAGATTTTTTTACAAACTCTTGCATTAAGATATATTAGAAAGAGACACATTTCATGCTTAAAAGAAAAATCACAGTACTCAGGAGGGTCCTGCTCACAGACTTTAAGAAAAATTAAAGGACTGTAACATATGCACAAACAATATGATTTGAAGCTAAAAAAAAAAAAATCAAAAGCCATTTGAGACTTTATTAAAGACATTTATGGTTTATGACAGTAATGACATGGCAGTGATGATTCATCACAAATCAGAATTTCTGAAAGCATGTGAAGGTCAATCTTGTTCTTACCTTACTTCCTTGCTTTCTGTGTCTTGCAAGAAAGGCAAGAGAGAGAAGCAATAAATCATGGGATCATAGAAGTCTATACGGTACTACTGGATCAAGAGGTCATCTGTCCTAATCCAAGACAGAGCAGCTACTCCTGTCCAGACAGATTTGTCCAATATAGTGATAAAATCTCAGTACTACCTTCTGCCTTCTTTTGTAGTAAATATCTGAAATGGGTGTATTTGAATATTTGTTCTCATTTTTTTCTGACTATATTTAGGCTGACTAGTCTTACACTGTATATGGTCCAGTGTCATCATTTTAAAAATAGATGCTTCCTCTTTCAAAGCTTTTGGAATCACAGCAACCCTCCGTGGACACCAAAAGCTAAATTGTACGAAGAAACTTTGAGATTGCTTCAGTCAGATTCTAAGACCACTGAAATCATAAATATTATGGGATTTCTTTGTTTTCTCTTTTACCATGCCCTCTTCCCTCTGCTCAGTAATGATAATAATGTTGACTATCTAACTGCGGTTTGTTTTTAAGAAGAATAGAGCGGAGAAAAAAAAAAAAAAGTAGTACTTAAGCCTTTCTTGTGTCCTTTGCCATTAGCTTTCGTTCTCCACTGAGCAGAACCTGAGTTCCTTTCTTAGTGCTAATTGAATGGTACCACATATTTTTCTTTCAAGAGTTAGTTCCTTCCTATTTGACCTTTCATTTTGTGCCTTTGCCTATCTGGTTTTGTCCTTATGCACACCTTATGACACATCCACAGTAATTTGTCTGTACTTCTGCCCTTTTCAAAGTATGTGCCTTGAGGACACTGAATATTAAACAAATGATCACTGAACATGATCAGTGAGATCATGGGTTAGCTTCCCTAAACTGCCGGATCCACATTTATGCTTTAAATACAATTTTCTTTAAAAACTATCCATTCTCTGTTTTCCCTTAACGTGGGATTTTACCTACTAATTGTCAGATTTAATTGACCCTTATTTTCTAGTGTCCCAATTTTTTTTTCATTTTCTTATTGTATAATCACTGTCCGGTGATGCTGTTCTTTCACATTTATGTTTTTTGAAAACCTCGTCAAATTAACAGGAGTCACATTAAGCTATACCTCTCCCTTTTACTGGTTTTCCCTTTCTGTAGTAAGATGTTCCCATCATGTTTCTATAACTCGTTGGGTAGAGTCGACTTGACTGACGTACTTTCTCAACATCTGAAGTTCTCTGCTGCCACCAAGTCCTGTGTTTTGGATCATTTTACTATTTTTACTGTCTTTACAGCTTGGTAGTTTCAAGAAACATCCTCCATGCTGGTGCTTCATTTTTCTCCATTTTTCATTGTTGCACTGGTATTCCAATTAGGACTTCAAGTGTATCTTTGGAGAAGGCAACTCATTTTTCTTTCTCTAAACATGCTAGTACTTTCTGTGACTTCTATAGCCATAGTCTGGTTGTGTGAATTATCCTGCCAAGCCTCTGTTATGTTATTTTGGTTGTGTTAGAGGGCAGACTATACATTACTTCTGCTTATTTTCTGCCTATTTTCAAATATCATTTAATAAAGTGTTAAAACGATCATCCCATTATTTATCTTCTAGTCTCCCCATGATCCTCTTAGATATATACACATTATCTTAATTATTTTAGACTTTGCCTAGATTACCATGATTTGTTCCTAACTGTGGATTTGTACACTGATTTCCACTGTTCCTAAATTAAAGCATTCCCTATTAGATTATCAAATCTGTATTCTAATGTTAATTTCTTCTCTTCTCTATATAAACTATATCCCTGTTCAGTACTCCTCCCCATGAGTTTACACACTCAAAAATGTTCTTGAGAAATAGTTTTTGGTTAAAATGTGGTGTTATCTTTCCAGTTTATCAGTCACAAATTAAGGAAAATGTGCATAAGGATAGAACTGAATAATCTGTAAACTTTAATATTCTGATGACGTAATAAAATATTTGGAATTTTGATATTTTGTTATCATTTTTTACAGATTGTCAAATGGACATTTTTGAAGATCAGGAATTTTCAGGAATGAATATTACAAGTTTTTTCACTCCCGATATCTCTGTCTGCCAAACTATTTGTACATATTTTCCAAAGTGTTTGTTCTTCACATTCTTTACCAGGGAATGGCAAATAGAATCCCAAAGGTGAATATGACAACCGACTTCAATTCTCTAACTAGATATTTTAAAAAGCACACAGTGGTTCTTTTAACCACTATTTTCTTATACTTCAGAAATTTTTGTTAAAAGGTTACTTTCAGCAAAGCACACCTTTTTGTGTTTTTTATTCATAAGTTTATAATTTCTCATGAGCATTTCATCTCTTCTCCAGTGTGATAAGGGTTTTGTATTGCAGTTGCGTATCTGATGTTAATGAGAAGAAAGTTATACACATTAAAGATACAGTGATCCTCCAGATTGCTTCAATGACTTAAAACTTAATTTTGTGAAATTGTCTGTAGAGTTATCTGTTTTCCTAGTAGTATTACGTTATTTACTTGAAAAATTTTTGATAAAATTAACAGGTTTAAAAATATATCTATTGAGTTTCCTTTTTTTTCATACATAGTAGTGAGAATAGTTAAAAATCTACATTCCAGACAAAACAGAACAATAAAGTTTGAAAGGAATTTCAGGGAAACGCAAAGCTGAAATGGCATATTTCATCCAAAGTAACCTCTTCTATGTATGTATAAATACTGTGCAACCTTTAGTAGTACAGTCACGCTATTCCACAGAACTAAAAAAACTCCCTCAATATAGTGTGAACTAGTGAGCTTAGTGAATGCACTCTATATGAAATACTTTTACAGATAGACACCTGGGAGAAAAAAATGCATTTAAGAAAGAACCTTCCCTTACCAGTGCCTAAACAATCAATCTCTCAAAGTGAGAACTGCTTTAATTACTGTAAAATTTTTTTCATTTTAGAAATCTTTGCCTTCTGAAGACATCAACAAGTGGGATACCAGAGGCACTTATATCACGAGAAAATGCTGTATCGGGCTTTGGTCTCCTAAATTGCAGAAGATCCTTTCCTGGTAAGCAATAAATTACAATAAAAATACTAATTTTGAATTTAGCAAATTAATAGACTTTCTAATGCTTGAAATGCACTCATTCTTACAGCCTGCAATTCTCGTACTTACATGCATATGAATTTTTTGGGAGATGAACTCAATGTCACTTATACTAAAGGACACAGAGCCTGCCAGCAGGTTTGCACAGACGTGATCCGCTGCCAGTTTTTTACCTACTTTCCCCTCCAAGAATCATGCAATGAGGAAGGGTGAGATATATTTTTTAAATGCTCAAAGACTGCTGAAATAATCATTCTGTAGTCTTGGTGAGTGGGTAATTTATGTGGTCTGCATAAAAAAATTTAAAACTGAATCTTTGCATTAATTCATTGGCAGAAAATGTGAGTGTCACCTGAGAATGTCCTCAAATGGATCTCCAGTGGAAATAATACATGGGCCAGGAAGGATCTCTGGATACTCATTAAGATTGTGTAAAAAAAAAGCCAGTACTGGTAAGTAAACTTCTTTCATTTAAAAGAGACAGTGCTTAACTGATTTCAGTACAGGAAGCCAAAAGGTCTTTTTGTTTTTGTTTTTTCAATTGGTTGTTTTGAATTGGTTGTATTGTCCCAGTGGGATGTGTTTGATGTCTGAAAAAGTGAAGTTGGCCACATCTACACATTGTAAACACCAACAGTAGCACTGTGAACTTGGTTTTAATAGACTTTATGATCGTAAATCATAAAGGGATTAGAATGTATCATGTATCACTGTCTTTACAATAGGTTGGTCCCTATTAAGGGATCGGCAGTAGTCTTAATTTTTCATTGATGAGTGCAAATTATCTTTAAGCACAGTTTAAAACTATTTCTATAGTTTGTATGCAGCATTCTGCAAGAAATATTAGGATCGTTGGAGGGACAGACTCTTCCCCTGGTGAATGGCCGTGGCAAGTCAGCTTGCATGTGAAGTTGTCTCGTCAGAGACACCTCTGTGGGGGCTCTATCATCAGCAACAGGTGGATTCTTACAGCTGCTCACTGTGTTATGAGGTGAGGCCTAAATATAAAAGTACAAATAAAAAAATTTCATCCAGTGTGTGAGATAAATTGAGACCTACTTTTCAGAAAAATAAAAGTGAGGACTAGAATAAACCAAATTGGTTTAATGTAAACAGAAGGTGAACTTCTAAGGTAGACTATTCATATCTTTAATGTAACTGGAACTCCGTACTTTGTCCCTTTGTAACACGGTATTTTAGTACTGATGATAAATTATTTTAATGCATCTAGAAGATGAAATTCAAAGCAGACTCCAGATACCTACAGAAACTTAGACATTCTCATGCAATATAATCTTTTCTTTACTGTGATACCATATCATTGATCAAGGAAAATCTGTTGCTAGGTTATTACATTTCATAAACTTCAAATTACTTATCTCAGAGATTTCTCTGTGGAACTTAAGAAATGGTACTAATCTGATAGCTTCAGCAACAGGGTGCTCAGCAAGTGAACTTATTTGATGAGAACACAAAGTAAATCTCTGTGGGCACCTGAGCTATCTCTCTCTGCATTACATGAAACATCCAGATCCCAATTGTCCCGGTTGTCCTGGTTTTCCTTTAACAGGTTTGGGTTTTGTTTGTTTGGTTTTGTGTTTTGTTTTTTGTTTCTTTGGGGTTTATTTCCCAAATTCTATCAATTAGTCAGTCAACACCCTATTTTTAACACATTTTTCAGCTGTAAGAAAAAAATTTAAAGTGGGCAATACCTAAGACATTGCTAATTTGCACTGACGCATATAGCCTTTATTGTTAATAAAATTGCCATCTGATTTGGATTATGAAATTACTTGTGTTGTGAAGAGCTGATATAATTGTCATGAAGACGATTCATTTCCATTGTTAGATTGTCATCACCTGTAAAGTAGGTTATCCTCTTATTTACGGAATGAAAAGTGTGAGGCTATCATGCAATCTGAAAAGGGACAACAGGTAAACAGATAAAATGCTTCAAGAAAGGTGATGCTTCAAGACCTAGAAACACTGTCCAAAATCAGGCATTTTTACTCACTCAGTGTAGTACATTACCCATTATTGTTTTTGTGTGGAATAGTGTTGCTAATATTTTGCCTCCAATGGCAAATTTTATAAAAGTGGTTAAACTCTCTAAAAACTGCTATATTATCATTCTCTATCTGCTACCCAGTGTAGAAGTTATCAGTACTATAAATGGCAGAATTAGAAGATACACTTGCAAAATAAAAATTTTTAAATATGTTAATTGGAAATTATTAAACCTAACATATTTATGAATTAATCTTCAAAATTTTTGGAAAGTTTATTTAAGAAAAGTTCCTATCTTCTTCTTTGCATGTACCAAAACTTCTAGGTTGCTTTAATGGCAGAATATCACAATGAAATATCCCTTAAGCTTACTAAAAGTAAAGTTGAAAACATAAAGAGAAAATAAAAGAAGGCAGAGGGGGAAGAAGGATGAAGAAGAAGGATCAGGACAATAGAGTCTGAACATAAAGGAGCGAGAAAACTGACATAAGGATGAAAATATGGATAGGGAAAGTAACAGAAGGAAGGAGAAGTGGAGGAAATGGACAATACTCTGGTAGTTTTGTAGTTTAGAGAGTGTGAAAATAACAAATGGAAAGACAGACCTCAGTGCTGTTCACTGAACACTCAGGAGTAATGGAAGATGTTGGCATCTGCACACAAACTCTAAATCAGTGCAAATTTTTTGCCACAGACTGACTGTTTGTCTTTTTCCCTCAGTCTTGAGAATCCCAACATTTGGCGTGTTTATGCTGGTATTTTAAAACAATCAGAAATAAATGAGGATACGCCCTTCTTCAGAGTGGAAGAGATTATTGTTCACCCTCAGTATAAATACGCACAGACTGGATATGACATTGCTTTATTGAAACTTGATAAACCTATGAATTTTACTGGTATGTAGTGTATTTCAGAGAAAATGTGCAGAATGACACAGGGCTGGCATTGGTATGACAGTGCATGACACCTGGGCTGGCTTCCTTTAATAAGCAATTGGGTTTGAGGAGAATCTCATTCTGTTGGCTTTGGAAAGAAAATGGGTGGCTTTTATTTATGTGGCTGGAATCATATATGTAGTGTAAGGGACAAAGTGTAACATGGAGGCTATCCTCAGGGGTTGTGTAGGTGCCCACAAAACCTTAATGCTCCAGTTGTCTCTGTTGGTCAACCTAATATTTTAATCATATTTTAGATCTTCAACTACCTATTTGCCTGCCAGCAAAAGAAGATGCTAACGTACTTTATACTGACTGTTGGGTAATTGGATGGGGTTACAGAAAAGAAAAAGGTACAGATAAATATTTAAACAGTGAATTCTTGTATTTGCAAAATTCATGTGATTTAAAAAAAACCCTTCCCCTGTTTTTTTTTTTTTTTTTTCCTTGAAAGAAAAATCCATTATTTTTAAAAAGAAAATTCTACTGTGTTCTTGGTTACCATTATTGCTGTCTGGCCAGCACTGTAATATAATTCTTAATTATAATCTCCTTCTTTTAAGACACCATAAAACATATATGAAAGATGTATGAAATTATCATTAAATAATTCCATGCTTTTACACAAATATTAAATTAATTTAAATAATTTGAAATATACAAGAATGCAACCTCAAATATATCCTGTACAGACCTCAAATACTTTTACATAGATTCTAGCTTAATCTACTGCCAAAACCCAAATATATCTGGAATGCAGACACCTTTTCACTCTCCCAGCTGTAAAAAAGCCAGACTTATCACTGAACTGTGAGATTTTGAATTACAGTCTACACATAACCCAGGGTGGGTTTTTTTATGTGGGTGTAGCCATATGACTTTTAAAATTGAAGATTTAAGTATGTTGCTTTTATGATTCTGAAGGTTGATTATAAACAATGACAATGACTTTTGTGTTTTGATAGTAGATGGCATTTGAAATCCTCTAATTTTATATGGAGGTAGGCCAAAATAGCTGGTAATTAACAAAGTCTGTTTTTACATGTATTTATTTATTTTTTTAAATATGTAATATTTAAGTGTGTGTATATATATGTATATATAGACATATTTAAACAGTGTCCTTTCCTTTATACATCTTCCTATTTGAAGGTTAGAATTCAATGTGATATCTAACAATTTTAGGCAGATACTGTATAGGCTAATTTCTTCTGTTCATTTCTAAGAAAAGGCTGCTCTCAAATACCATTATTTACTCTATGTGCAATTTTCTCCATCCTGTAAACTACTAGGGTATGGAGCAGAACATAGTTGGCAACTGGGAGATGCCAAACCTATTGTAACACATTGGTAAGAAATAATTGTTAATAACACAAAGCAATGCTCTTAATAGGAGGGCAGGTTCCAAGGACCAATGTCCTGAGAGCTGTACTCATGTGAGGTTTCATTGCAAGTCGTGAGGGAGTTCTGAAGCTTGTCCAGTCATGACATATAAAATGGCATTATAAAATTATTCAAATTAGCAGACAATTCACATTGTTTACTAACACAAAAAAGGGAAAATCAGTGTAATGAACATCCGACAGCACTCTAAAAGCCTTCAATTTTGTAATATCACTGTATGGGGATTTCTAGAGTTTAATTTTTTTATTTTACTAGAAGCAAACATTTCTCTGTTCGTACCACCTATTAAATAGGTCGTGTAGAAGATATTCTTCAGAAGGCTACTGTTCCCCTCATGTCAAAAGAGGAATGCCAGGCAAGGTACCGGAAGCGCAGAATAGGTGACAAAGTGATCTGTGCTGGCTATGATCAAGGTGGAAGGGACGCTTGTAAGGTAATGAAAAGAAGTAGTATATAGTCATAAATTCCAACCATTTGTTGAAATATGTAATTGAATACTGCAACTATTTTTAATAGCCATTAGAGAAATACAGTTATCAATAGAGTTGTTGATCAATTTGTCACTTTTGCATGTCAAAAGCACTGAAAATCAAGATATATACAAAACATTTCTTATGTGACATTGAAATTTTAGGGTAGATTCCATGGATAAGAAACTCTGACTGTGTGTGTGTGTGTATACATATGTCATCAGTTTAGGGAATAAAACAGTATCCCTCTGGAGTATCAGAAATCCAAAGAGAGCAAGTATAGTATCTCAAAGCATTTCTCCAATAAAAGCAGATTTCCTATGTGATGTTTTTATTTTCTGACAAGAAATACACTACGTGAAAGTTTATTTTAAAACATTCACTGTGTACAAACCAGAAGGGAGGATGCTAGCAATAGTGCATGGAAATGGAAGGCTAAAGACAACCTGAGCAGACTGGTCTGTTCATGATTAGAATTTAAAATGTCACAACAGCGTGAGTTCAGTGAGCCAAATTCTCTGATTGAGTGTAAACTCACGCACTTACATTAATTTAAAGATTCTGAGTTAATTTATGGAAGAATAGTAAGATTACATTCTCTACCAAATACAGTATTTTCACTTTTAACATTTAACAGTTAACATTCTTATGTTAAAATGTTATTGCTACTGTGGTCAGTATAGAGTAATTAAGAATAAAAATTCTTGGAGCTGGGAAGTAATTTTTTCTTTATTGCTATTAAGCTTTCTTTATGTGGTACAGTGTACCAGAACATGGAGATGCTGTTTTATAAAAATAACACACTTGCTATTGTCTCAACAACTCATGACCTTCTGTTCAGAAAGATCAGTTAGAAATAGGAAAATAAAACAGAGATGTGTTTTATCCAAGGGAGGACAGTGTCACTCAAACAAGATAAGCCATGAAGAGAAATGAGGCTTACATACTAAAACCAAGGTCATGAGAGAAAACATTGGTAAATTTACTATTTTCTCACTTGCACATGTAGTCTTCACTGGGTTTCAAACAATGTGTCTGTAGATAAACCAAAACAAAACACAGTAGTTTTGAACTTTAACAAGAAGTAGAAATTATTTGCAATGACTAGAAACTATTTAGAAGTCAGTTTAATGGAAAAACAGGAAACCTGCTTCAGTACTCTGGTAATTAGTCTAAAACAAAAGTTACGCTGGTCTTAATGCTGAATGATGCTGATTTTAATCTAGGCTTTCTTTGAGAGAGAAATACTGACAAGAGGTGTTCCTTGCATGCTCTGTCTTTCTCCTGTGACAGGGAGATTCAGGAGGGCCGTTGTCATGCAAGCACGAGGAAGTGTGGTATCTGGTGGGCATCACCAGCTGGGGTGAAGGCTGCGCTCGTCCCAGACAGCCGGGTGTCTACACAAAAGTTGCTGAGTATTCAGACTGGATTCTAGAGAAAACTACGTAGCATGAGAGTTACCTAGTGGCTCAAAGTGATTTCATGGAAAAATAACCCTAGAAGCAATGAGATGGAGTGTATTAGTGTTTTTTAAATGGTGTTTCTTGTTAGTCTGGAATGTAAAAGACTTGATTATAAAGGTAGAACAGCAGGAATTAATGATCTTTTGTCATTATTAAATAAAAAAGCAGTAATAAAAATAAGCTCTGTGGTCACTGATTTGGCAGAAAAATAGACTATGTCTGAACCATTGATTTCTTCTGTCCTTGGTAGCATGAAATGGGGCTTTTGAATTCTGAGGTTTGGACACAGCAATGGAGATTTCCCTCCCTTGTTCAAATTTGGTTGAAATGGACCGACCAGTTACAAACTTACTAAGGGGCTGGGGAAGGTTGCTGAGGCAGAGGAGAAGTCTATACAGTTGTATAAACCTTGTTTCCTTAGGGAATTAGCCAAAAAAGTGGCAGTACTGAGAAAACAAAACCAGAGGCCTTGGCAAGCTCTTCAGTAACAATTTTGCAAGTATGATAACAGTTCTGTCTTTCAGTTAAATTATTCTAATTTCTGTGGAAAGTTTTGTGTTGAGAATGATAATGTGGGTCTATTTCGCTTGAAACAGAATATCCAGAAAGTCAATAAAACAATCATCTCCTTTAGAAACATCATATGGCACTGGTCTTTAGTACAATATATTATGTTTGAGATCCCTAGCTCTCATTGATTAAAGAAGTTTTTTTTTTTTTTTTTTTTTTTTTTTTTTTTCCAGTTGTCATAGAATCATAGAATGGCAGAATGGTTTGTGTTGGAAAGGACCTTAAAGACCTCCTAGTTCCACCCCCCCTGCCATGGTCAGGGACACCTTCCACTAGACCAGGTTGCTCAAAGCCCCGTCCAGCCTGGCCTTGAACACTGCCAGGGAGGGGGCAGCCACAGCTTCTCTGGGCAACCTGTGCCAGTATCTCACCACCCTCACAGTAAAGAATGTCTTCTTTCTGTGTAATCTAAATCTACCATCTTTCAGTTTAAAAATGTTACCCCTCGTCCCATCACTACACTCCCTGTTAAAGAGTTCCTCCCCATCTTTCCTGTAGGCCCCCTTTCAGTACTGGAAGGCCACTATAAGGTCTCCTTGGATCCTTCTCTTCTCCAGGCTGAACAACCCCAACTCTCACAGCCTGTTCTCAAACAGGACGTGCTCCAGCCCCCTGATCATCTTCATGTCCCTCCTCTGGACTTGCTCTAACATGTCTATAAGTCCTTATGTTGGGGGCCCCAGAGCTGGGCACAGCACTGCAGGTAGGGTCTCACAAGAGGAGTAGAGGGGAAGAATCCCCTCCCTCGACCTGCTGGCCACACTTCTCATGATGCAGCCCAGGATAAGGTTGGCTTTCTGGGCTGCAAGCATACATTGCTGACTCAGAGTTTTCTATCCACTATTACTCCCAAGTCCTCCTTCACAGGGCTGCTCTCAATCCACTCATCACCCAGACTGTATTTGTGCTTGGGATTGCTTTGACCTGTGTGCAGGACCTTGCACTTGGCCTTGTTGAACTTCACGAGGTTTGCACAGTCCCACCTCTCAAGCCTGTCCAGGTCCCTCAGGATGACATCCCTTCCTCCAGCGTGTTGACCTCACCACACAGCTTGGTGTCATCGGCAAACTTGCTGAGGGTGCACTCACTGTTCATGTCGCTGACAAAGATGTTAAATAGACTCCCAATACTGACCCCTGAGGAACATCACTTATCACTGCTCTCCACTTGGACATTGAACCATTCACCACAACTCTTTGAGTGTGACCATCTAGCCAGTTCCTTATCCACCAGGTGGTCCATTTGTCAAATCCATGTCTCCATTTTAGAGACAAGGTTGTTGTGTGGGACAGTGTCAAATGAAGTCCCCCATGAGGACTAGGGCTTGTGAACGTGAGTGCTTCTGTCTCTCTATAGAGGGCCTCATCTGCTCAGTCTTCCTGGTCGAGTAGCCTGTAGTAGGCATCCACTATAATATCTCCTGTCCCTGCCTTTCCTTTAATCTTGACTCATAAGCACTCAGTCAGCTCCTTATCCTTTCTCCTTATTTTGTGTCAGGTAGCAAATATGTTTTATGGCGAAAATTATCATTCATGTGAGAAACAGCAGTCAAAAATTTATTACTTTCCCACAGCAAGAGTCTGCATTTCTTACTGAATCAGAAAGGAAGGTGTAGGATTTAGCACTGTCTTTGCCAAAATTCATGAGCTTGTTTCCTAATCATCTACATTACCTTAATTGTTGAAAATATGTTTGAGCTCCTCATAATTGCCACACACCCACACTGGATATGTTGTGGAGGTAAACAGCAGGAGTGACTTTACAAGTAATTGAGGTTGTAAAAATTAGAAATTAAACATGTCAAATTTATGGGAGAAAACAATCAGGCTGCTGAAAATGACTTCTGGGTTTATTTTTTTGATACTTTATTTGCAAATAACAGTGAGGGAAAATGTAATTCCATAACTACAAGCTTACAACCAGTTGTATTTGTGCCTATGTTCAAAGAATCTCTGGGGTCAGAGTGCTTCTTGGGGTTGCAGTGCTAAGCTGACCATAGCCAACATACAAAAAATTTCAAAGATGTATTCAAAGGCTGGGAGTTTTGTTTTGTTGGTTGTTTTTAAAGAATCAAAATTCAAATGAAGGATGGAAAGAGTCCAAATGTAACAGGAGGAGAGAAGAAATGGTGCTGCTGCAGGTCTTAGGAAAGAATGGTGCTGCCTTCCCTCTGCTCCACGGTGGGCTCTCAGTGCCAGGGGCTTGTGTCACTGGTGGTGCACAGTGCTTAAGGTCTCCTGCTTTGGGAATCCCCATGCTGGCTGTAGAAGTTTGGAGAGCCAACTGGCTTTCGGTGGGGGGAGTGGGTCAAGGGGGAGGGGGAAGGCATATTGCTGTGCTGGGACTTTTTGTCATCACTGCAGAAGCAGAATAGGAGATGAAGGTGGGGTCTGATGCCCTTTTCATGCTCTGTTTAATCCACAACTGGTTTGAAATATCTGCAAACCTCAGACATGCTGTCAAAACCCTAGAGACTTAAGTAAGGGACTGAGAAAGAGCGGGGGAAAATAGAAAATGCAGCCAAAAAAAAAAAAAAAAAGTTTCCTGGTGTTCAAATGTGGTTCTGTCCTCATGGGGAAGGAATGAGATGGCTGGAAAAGAGCTGCTGAGGAAACATAGAAATTGCTTCAGGATGAAAACAGAGACTGAAATTCGCTAAAGAAGAATCAAGAGACCATCTGAAATACCCATCTGCCGATACGCAAGCTATGTATTTGCTGAAAAGCACATGCATTGTCAAACTGATAACCTCTAATGCTTTCTCATAATAATGTTATCATCAGCTTTTTTTTGTTGTTGTTGTTGTTTTTTTAAATGTGTGTGTTTTGCTTTCTTTTCTGTTATGAGACTTTCCAGATTGTGGCTACTGGAGTAATGAAGAGGAATGGCCGCTCAGCAGTGCTCTGTAGACCTCTGGACTCTCATGTTTT